CGGTTCGGTACCTCGGTTCGGTACCTCGGTTCGGTAAATAAACTTGAAACATTTTAAGTTGCAGGTTGACAACCGAAATTTCAAATCGGGCGAAAAAGAAAAAGTGAGTATTAGAATTCTACAATCACTCGATCATCGAAACATAAAGGTAAGCAACGTTGCCGGGTTAAAATAGTCTTTCTTTCTCTGCCTATATATTCTTAACTTCCAAAGTGAACTGGATGTGAGGATTCAAGCTGTTAAAAAACTGTAAAACCAAATGAATATCATCACGATGGGCACAGAGTAAAATATCATCCATAAATCGTTTGTAAAAGAACACCAAATACTGTATTGTGCTCAACGCTGAAAGTTCAAAATCCTCCATCACGATATTACCCAACACTGCCGAGACACATCCACCCATAGCAAGGCCCATAATCTGCTTGTAAAACACACCATTAAATTCAAAAACTGTTAACGTATGCAGATTTTTAGCATGTACATAAATTGATCCTTTGGGATGGTGCAAAACTGCTCCATCTCTTCCCACCTATCACTCACACACCTCACCGATTGTGCACCTAAGCTGCCACCGATTGTGTCGCGTATTAGAGGTGGCATTGCAAATATTCTTGGTGATTACCAAAACCAGGTCAGCAAAGTTTCTAAATCTGAAAATATCCGTGTAGTTTCAAACAACATTTTTAGGGATTGTTATTATACCAAATCCTTGAAAGAGGATTTTAGGAGAGCTTATTTTTTCTGTAAGCTTAATTGTCAAATCAAGGTCATCAGAGCAGACAAGACCAATAAAACTTTCAATATCAATAGTGTTGATTATGAGAAAAAAATGTTAGATCTTTTGAACGATGACGATACTTATAGGGTGAGTAGACACTCGTTAGTGCCTGCTCAAACAAAACAGAACGCCGGTGCTAGGACATAATGTCCAAAAAAAATAGTCCAAAAGTAAAAACGTCCAAACCCATAATGTCCAACAAAACACTAAGGCCAAAACCAATAGATGTCCAACTAAGAAAAAAGTCCAAAACTGGTAAAAACTGGTAAAAACAGAAAGTGGTAAAACGATGTGAAACGCACCAGTTACAAATGCGCATCATTCCGAGTCCCAATCATCTGAAGAAGAGTCCGAGTCCGAAGGGTCTGCTGCTGCTGTAGGCGCACCACGGATGCGAATATTGCAGGCAATGCCTCGCAAGTATTTAGGGATTTCTTCAGCATCTTTAAATTGTTGGTAACGTCTCGCTCGCATCTCTATCCTTTCTTGATTTTTACGAGATTTCTTGCTGATTTGTTGCCGGATTCTAGTGTGCTCGTTATCGAGCTGGATGCAAGTTTGCTCAGTATCATGTTGGTCCTTCTTCATATAATCTAAGAATTTCCATATATTTAAATGGTGGGTCTTTACCATCTTTTGATATTTTGAATGATAACTTTCAACTACATTGTTTGTGCGTTGCATTCCATCCAATGTTAGAGTGTAGACACACCACTAAGTGGGCGGGTGTCTGGGAGGAAGAGCAGGCCGTCGGTGGGTGGCTGGTTTCCCTGTGACATATGTTTCGTCCATGTAATCAGCGAATTCGCGGACGGCTTGCGGAGCTGCCTCGTAGAGAAGATCGAATACTTCAGGTATGTCTGCCAATGGGACGAATGGAAGGGCCATGAAGGCTAATAAAGATTTCCTTACAGGTGACACAATGATCATATACTCGCCCACCAAATGGAACTTCACAATATTTCTCCATAATGATTGCTCGAAGTGGAAGAGGCAGCAATGTTTGTTTGCTTCAGGGAATGCCTCCCGGCAGGCAGTGATATTCGCTAGTTCAAAATCTGACATAATGTGTTCAGGTTGTAAGCGTATGTGATGGCGAGCAGCAAAATCTTTTAATTCTCTGTAGATAGTTCTGTACGTATTTTCAATTTTGTAACGTTTTTTTTTTTTTTTTTTTTTTTTTTTTTTTTTTTAATTTTTTTTTTAAGTCATTGCGGGTAAACGGCAGGAGTAATGTATTTTTCAGTTTTCTATTTTGCAAGACATTAAAATAACTATGGCGACTTCCCCCGTTCAATGCTCTTACCGGGACCCTGTATTTTTTACGCTCATTTTTTAAAAAAAATTATTGGACTATGTACACAGTTGGACATTTATTGGTTTTGCCCTTTGTGTTTTGTTGGACATTATGGGTTTGGACGTTTTTACTTTTGGACTATTTTTTTTGGACATTATGTCCTATCACCAGAACGCCACTATTGTCGACTTGTGGTGTAAAAAGGAGTATATTACTAAAGCTCAAACAGATACGTTAAAATCGAGTTCTGCTGTCGTGTCAAAAATTTATGGATTAATTAAATTACATAAGGATTGAGATAAGCCGCTCCGACCAATTGTGAGCACCATAAATACACCTTTTTATGCAGCGTCTACGTTTTTATCAGGAATTTTATCGCACATTGTGGGTAAAACTGAATATCATGTAAGAAACTCATTTGAATTTTTTTATTTCCTCAATTCTAAAAAATTCAAAAAATTCTATCGGGAGTTAAAAGCATGTAGCCGTCCTCCAATGCTCAAAAACATTCGAGACAGGTTCAGTAAACGAAATTATAAGTAAGAGAGCTAGAAATAAAATCACAGTTTTTCAAGCCGTTTCATCAGATTTCATCCGGAAAATAGATTTCCTTATGATCCAAGTTTTGAGTTTTTCAAGGACTTTGCAATGCTTTTCTGCCTTAATGGTCACAGCATGTGGTATAGAGTCAACCAGCAACACCTCTTTGGCATTTCATTAGATGGTTGACATAATTTTGCAACCTGATAATGCCACCTTTGCAGTGTCTTATGAGTAGGAAAATCGGACCCGCAGTGATAGGAGATGGGTACAGAAAAGTTGAATATTTCAGCGACCCCTGGATGGCAAAAAGTTCATGACAATACATTTGCTAAACTATTTTGATAGCTTGACCGGGAAACTAGGTATCTTGAGAGAAGTTTCAAATATTCGTATTTTATTTCTTCGAAGGAAAAGAGTAAACTTCATTGCTTGAAATTTTCGGTTTTCAACTTAAAAACAAGAAGACATTCCGACATGAATATGTTTAAAAAGCGTGCTGAATAACTGAAATGTTGGACACACACCATTTTCATGTCATTGCTATTTGAATCAATTGATACTTTTTGCTAAATTTGGGAGACAATTCTTGATTCATGAACGTTGAATGTAAATTAATTTTAAAGATTCCGTCCAATTATCTTGATTTTAGGCTGATATACGGCATTTGCGTAAGACCGCGATTTGCGGCGAACTGCCGTGCATCAGCTTAAAATGAGGATAACTGGACAGAATTTTAGTGCGTTTTTATAATAATTTCGTGCAGGAACTAAATGTTCATGCTAAAAGATGAATTTTTCACCAGCCAAGAAATTTCAGTTGCGGGCCTAGGGGTCCTACCCTCACAATGGACGGATTGGCAGCCTCTCATCAGTGAACAAAACAGGTGCTGGGTAAAAAAAGGTCGGATCATCGCGCGAGAGACTGGGGCTGTGCCAATTTACGGATTTTAATGCCAAATACAAAGTCTCAGGTTTCGTGATGGACTATAGAGGACTCTACAGCAGCGTAAAACGCTGATAGGCTAAAAAGTTGCTGCGGAAGAGAAGCTTCTGGATTTGAGTCGTTCTAGCATAGAAAAGCTTATTTGAGGTTTCTGTCAAATGAAATAATATGGTTTTGACGGGACAATGTTCTCAAGGTTTTCCCCTGGCAAAATCATTTGGTTTTCTTGATGAATGACAATTACAGACAGTATAACGATTCAAAGACAAAAAATGGGTCCGAGGAAAAAAATATTTGGACAGCCTGATGAATAGCATGGGTTGATCGGTGTGCTGTACTATAGTACATGCAAATGATTTCAAAAAGGGAGCCCTACTGGCACATTTAAAATGAAGTATCACCAGGAACTTGCTATGCTGCAAATTAAAGCACAAAATGTCGGAGTTAGGCCTTTGGTATACGGGAACTAAATATTAAGTTACATTACAATGGCACAGCACTGCAACAGAGCTCTTACCAGCGACAGGGTTTTGCAATTCAAGTACTTTTCCATAGGTGATATTTCGTGAGAAACATGATGGTGCCACTTGTTTTCTCTGAAAAAAACTCCAAAGCTTAAAAAAAGCTCTCAAAGTTGAGGCTGTAAAGGAGGGGATTCCAACATTACACCAGGGGTAAACTAAAGTACTTTAATAGACAGAGTTTGGCCATTTCTGTGCCGGTTTTTCATTGGTCGCGAAAAAATAGGCTGACACGATGTTCTTATGGCTGTAAATAAACAAACAAGATGGCTGTTATCAGCAAGCAAGTTTGAGGTTATGCGCATCTTACATCCTCCTGCAATAAAGGCAAAAGGCGATTTAACAGTGTTTTCATGTGTTATTTGTAGATATGCAATTTTAAATTAAAACTGCCGTATAATTGAAATTTTTGTCCAATTTTAGCTTCTTATCAATGTTACAGTGAGTTGCCATGTTGTTTGTTTCATTACGGCCGCAAGAGCATCATGAAGCCTAAAAACTCAATGACCAATCAGAAAGCGGCACAGTTTTTCTGTGGTAAAAAGATATGAATGGCCATACTCTGTCTGTAAAGGTACTCTAGAGTCAACCTCTGTATCCAGTCAAACACTCAAAGCACATATGGGGAGCAGATGAATTCACAGGGTTACAGTGATTCCAGCCTTTGAGTCCCTGTGAAAAGTGACACTCCTGCTGGCATATTTGCTTCTTATTAGTACATACATGGAGAGTTCAATTAAACACAGAGGTGGACTCTCAGCGTGGCGTAGAGGATCCCCTCAATTACAACCTAAACGTTGAGAGCTTTTTCTGGGCTTGTGAGTCCGTTTCAGAGTAAAACAGTGGCAGCATCATGTTTCTTGCAAGAATTTAGTTAAATTTGCCAAAAGTCATGCTTCATTGTGTTATTTCTTACCTTTTCTTTGTCAATAACACAGATTGTTGAATCGTTGTATATCATGAAGATATTCTGATCTTTTCTATCAAAAATTATTCCTTCTATGGGGAAACACCGAGCTGTCCACTGCCTGAGGTGTTCATTGGAAAACGTTTGTGTAAACTTCGTGTATTTACAGGCTTCGAGATCATACTCTATCAGCTGTAACAAAAAAAAGGTAGTCCTACTCTATAATGCAGAAATAACATCGATGACGGCTGATTGCTCACACTGAAAACAGAGCTTTCCAAGCTACTGTAAAAATAAAAATTTCTTGCATAATGATAATGGTAGTATCACTGCAAAGGAGGTAGCCCAGCCCTAGCTATCAGAAAAAATAGGTTACACAAATTCCATAAGGAGCCGTCCATAAAGTATGTCAGACACCTGTTTTTAATTTTTCAACCTACATCCCTCCCCCCTCCCCTCTGTAAGCCACCCCTTTATGCCTTTAAATAATTACAAAAGGCTGATCTAACACCCGCCACAACTAAAAGGAGAAAAACGTACAATTTAGCGAGAGGTAATGTTAAAACAGATTGGTACCTTTGGAAGCATAAGACGTATTCTAGGGAAAAATCTATATATTATAATAAAAGGATTGGACGGATTTCGTGACCTTGAGATTTCCGGCCCCGTCCCTCGGTCCTCCCGTGTCCTACGCTCTTGAAATTTGGTCGGCGTGATTCCGGCGGCCGGCTCTACCGTCCCTCCGCGGGTTTTTCCGGTCCGACCCTCCGGGGGGTTGCTGCAGCCCTCAAGGGTTTTTTCGGAAAAACTGACACCGCTCCCGCCCCCTTCGTCTTTTCGGCTCGGAATTCGGCACCCGGGCGGCCCCCCCGGCGGCCGGAGCTTAACTCCGGAAAATTACCGACCCCGACCACCCCGGAGAGGCGCTGCGCCCCGAAAGGACGTTTTTTCCACCCTTACGTGTTAATGGTCACTTCGTACCCTTTCGTTCGGATACGGAGTGTAAACAGACACTAATGCTTTAAAAAAGAAAATATTGGCGAACTAAATAATGACAGAATGTCATTTCCATTGAAACTTCATGAAATTTTCATTGTGTTAAAAGTTGTGTTGCTAATCTTTCAGGCAGATGATCCTTATTTGGGCAAAGCGAAAATATCTTATTCTAATAAAAAAAAATTCCTCATTTGTTTTAGTTCTGCAAGATGTAGAATGATTTAATTTTTTCAATTTGACTTTAATTTAGTGCTTGACAATACTATCATAAATATTTCGGTCAATTTTCAAAGAGAGGTGCTGTGCATCACGTTTGAGGCGAATATTTGGGAAATCTGATAAAATTTGAGCAAAGAGCGACGCCAAAAACGACCGTTTTTTGGCACAATTAGGGCCAGAAGGGATTTTTCTGAAACCGGGCCCAAACGATACCTTATGATACCCTAAAACTCTGGTAAAAATATTAGCTTGAGTATACGCACGGTTTTTGAGAAATGAGGGGGCAAAGTTGCCAAATCGCCATCATTCTGGACAGCATTTCTACAGCAAAAAGACGGGAAAATGGACGAAAAAGTTACACCTTTGATGGGTTTCGGCTGTAAATGTTCTCATTGGGCCCCCAAACATTTAACTGTGTTCAGTTTCAAAAATTTAGGTCGCACAGTGGTCCAAAATGGGGAGAAATCGTCGACAAATCAGGATTCTTTGTCAAATTTTTAGAAATGGAAGTAAAATTGTCGGTCTGCTGCAGTTTTCGTGGCTAACAATGTTCTTATCGGTCCTCAATGCATGAAATTGTGTTCAGCTTCACAAATATACATCGCACAGTGGTCAAAAATGGGGGAATTAGTGGACAAATTAAGATCCTCTGTCAAACTTTTTAAAAATGAAGTGAAACTGTTGGTCCCCGGTAGACTTTAGATCCCGGAAAAATTCTTTTAATTCTTTTTTTGACTATTTAAATCTTTTTGAACTGCTTTTGCATTCTTCGATTTAAAGATGTTCTGTTTACTTAGTCCTCTTTGACCTCTCTTGTTTGTCAAAAATCGCAAGAAAAAATTAGCTAATTAGCACGACACTTAGAACGAATTAACTTTTTGATCTTCTCAAAATATACAAAAATTGAGAAAAAGTGCAATTCCATTCTGATTCTTTTTGAAATATGCAATCAAATAATAAAAGAAGAAGAATATACCAAATGAAAGAGCACGGGGTTTTCATTACACCCTACGTGAGTAGGGTGAAAACAGGAATTTAAGCGCAAAAGTTTTTAGCCAAATTGTGCAGAAAAATACGAATTAAATTACAGTGTTGTATGGTGATTATTATTCAATATGGCAACGCTGTAAAAGTAAAAGTATTGCATGTTGCCCCTTCAATATGCGGGTTATGCAATAGTGTACTGTAGCCCCTTCAATATGCGGGTTCTGCAATGGTGTATTCTTAAAGATGGCGGTCACAACGTTGCCGGACGGTGCACTTAAATAAATGATTTAATGGGCCTGTTGCAAACTTTTGCTAGAGCAGAATGAAGAGTTGTTTCCTATAGATAATGCCTCAAAAATCACGATGAGCGCATCGGCAAAGTCTGAAATGCACTCATAAATTCACAATCTGCGTGAGAAATTTGCGTTATTTTGAGCTTCCCGCATCAGAAACGATACTACTGCACAGGTGAACATTTTGTTAGAGAAGTCGCTCCAAAGTCGGCAAAATTCATCATGGCCGACGCTTGCGCAGTTCCTCGCGTAATTCGAGGAGAGTTCAAGGTCAATTAAGGCGGGCGAGGAAAATATGAACGTAAACACGCCGATTGTTATATGGTTTAATCCTGTTTAAAAACCGCAAATTTCTTACGCAGATTGTGAAGTTATGAGTGCATTTCAGACTTTGCCGATGCGCTCATCGTGATTTTTGAGGCATTATCTGCAGGAAACAACTCTTAGTTTTGCTCTAGCAAAAGTTTGCAACAGGCCCATTATGGGTGAAATTTTGCAACATCGCATTTTACGGTGTTGCCAGATGGTTCGAGAAATTAGTTAATGTTTCGATACAATGTTGTCAGATTGTGCAAAAAATTCGGATTTTCGGACTTGTAAAAATTTTCGGTTTCGAAAGACCGTCTCCTACAGTATGGGTCTGGTATCGGATACTGGAGAGTAGGGTCTGATTCGGGAAATTAAACAATTTTCGGAAAATTACCCTCCTCCGATCCGTAGCGGACCGATGCGATTCTTTTACACTATCGAAGATCGGAAAACTGTACAGACCGAATTTTGATACGACTTTTAGTTTTCGAGAAAATCCAACTTTTACCTAAGTCGCATAGACCATATCCTCCAGGATGGGACTGGTATCAGTGAGTGCAGAGTAGCGTCTGATCCGGGAATTTCAATTGTTAGTGGTGTGCGCTTGGAAATGTGGATCCGAACCTTGTGTTTTGGAATAAGCAACTGGGATTGTATATTGCAATTCAGTTTGATGAATCGAAAACTTGTAAAATTTTCGGGATCAATAGACCATAGCCTCCAGGATGGGGCTGGTTTCGGTGATTGGAGAGGAGGGTCTGATTCGGGATATTAAAACGTTTTCTAAGTCCTACGCTGGAAAATATTTTCGGAAAATTACCCTCCTCCAATCCACCCCAGCCCGATATGATTCTTTTACACTATCGAAGATCGGAAAACTGTTCAGACCAAATTTTGATACGACTTTTCGTTTTCGAGAAAATCCAACTTTTACCTGAGTCGCATTATGCGTATCTCATATGTATATACGAGTTTTTATGCTTGTTTGAATAAATGGATTCTTGACTTTTACTATTAACCGGTTGTATGTCTGATGTTATTAACACGTCTATGACACATACCTATCTTATGTGTATACGCGGTTTTCTTTGTGGCCTTCGTAAATTGCGGTCCTCGCTCCGTCCAGAGTTCAAAATTCATCGTGAACTAGCTGTCTGTTCGTGGATCGCACAACGATGTGATGTCTGGTTTTAGTTACTACAGATCAAGGGAATCAGAAAAACGTAAAATTTCATTGCGGATAACCCGGGGTCGTAGAAAATGCTCCTTTGAAGTGATGATTTTTTTTTTACATAGAAAAAAAAAACGAATTAAAGTACAATGCTGTATGGCGGGTATTGTACAATAAGGCAACGTTGTAAAAATTGTTCAACGAAATGGCAGGGTAAAGTTACTCCTTCAATATGCAGGTTATACAATTCTAATAATACGAGGTATTGCATGTAGCCCCTTCAATCTGCGGGTTATGCAATGGTTTATTTTACCCTTCAACTTGTAGGTTATGCAACATAATTGCTACTGATTGAATTACCGGTGATAAAAGAAAAATTATCAGAAAAACATTCTATTACTTATTATCTTTTAGAAATATTGAAATCTGTGCGATTTTTTCGAAATGATGATGTACAAACATTCTTTGCCATAACTCCGTTATTGAAGGCTCCATTTTGTGTCAAAGATATCATAAAATAACCCCATCGAAAACAGCTAGTCGCTCTTCCAAATCATATCATCACGTCTTATTCCAGACAAGAAATACCCCAAGGCCAAAAGAGAATACGCTTTCATGTTGATTTGTACGAATTTCTGTCCCTTCCCCCCCCCCCCGTATATACCGACGATACCGATGAAAATTCATCCTGATAAACAAATTAAGTTTTATGGGAAGTGAGACGACCCTCTGTGCATCGCGATTTATCGAAAATCTGTCTTAGGATCCGGGAAATCACGCAACGTCGCGTCCACTAAGGGTCTCGTCCACTTAGATTGTACTAGGTGCGGCGCGGCGATGAATCGGATCAAAACGCCTACCAACGGAAAGTTCTTGCCACGGAGGTGCGGTTAAAATTGAGCTCATGGATTTATTTATCATCGCACAAAAATGGTTTATAAAAAGGCTTATGATAGTATTGTCTAGTATGATAGTCTTGTGAAACTTTGGGAAGTCCTAGAAGAAACTGGTTTTAGTAAAGGACTTATTGGGGCAGTTATGCAGTTTTATCGGGGAGGGAGGGGGGTTTTGCCAGAATCAAGTGCCAAGGAAGGCTTCCAGACGGTTTTTTTGTCACCAAGGGGCTTAAGCAGGGATTTTGTCCGTCACCGACGCTATTTAAGATATATCTAGCGAACGTTCTGAAGAAATGGAAAAGAAAGTGTGCCGGAATGGATGTCCCTCTGAATGACCAAGAAACACTGTTCGTGCTATGCTTTGCTGACGACGAAGTAGTCATGAGTCAAGATCACGATGACGCGGAGTATATGACCAGGAAGTTGGTTGAGGAGTACCGCAAATGGGTTCTCGAGGTTAGTGTCTGTACGATAAAAAAGATGTCAGTCGGGGGTGCTCATCAAAGCATAGTGAACATATAGAAAGTTGTGAACAATACAAGTACCTGGGGGTGAAGCTGACTTCGGATCGGAAGTTGGATCAGGCCATTCGGGACCGTAATCTTCAAGGAAGGAAAGGCATCACAATGTTTAATGGGATTCTTTGGGACAAAAGGATTTCCAAAGACAACGATAAGAGGATTCTTAACTCGGTTGAGGAATAACAAAACACGAGAAGAGGTTTGTTTCTCCACCCGATTGAAAATTATTCATCGTTGTAAATTTTGGAAATTTGAACATTTTCTGTTCTTTTGAAAAATACCCGGAAAATTCGGAGGAGAAACGCAAGTATGCCCGTTACACTAATTAACTTTCAACATAGCTTCTAAACAAGCTCAAAATAATGAAAATCGGACGAGAATGTGCCGAGATATGTATAGCGCGCGTATGACTTGCGTAGCACGTTAATTGCCTGTATTCCGCCGTTTTCACCGCGCGCCGCGCACCGCAACGCTTCACTTCAATTGCTCCAGCGGGTGCATTTTTTGACACAGAAAAATCGTTTTGGTATCAAATTGAACGTGACATAATTTCCCATCGCGGTTACTGAAGACAAAAACGCCATTTTCCCGCGCGTTAAATAATTAAACGCTCTTGAAAATTGGGTGAAATTTAAAAATTTCAAAATTTTCCTAATGACCATGCATGTGTGCCTTGGGCGAAAAAATTTATGAGGCAGGCTTCTGTAGAAGCATTTTAGCTTTAAAACAGGACCAAGAAAACGAAAATCGGACACGTAGTTTCCGAGATATAGCGCTCTGAAAAAACCCTTGGCGGCCATCTTTAACGGCCGCCATCTTGGTTCCTGCACGGACCCCAGGGTGGTTTCTCTTCTAAAAGAGCTTCTTATGACCATAAGAATGATCCCTGAAAGCGGCAATTTCCAATCAAAATAAGCAGGGTTTTGGCCATTATTCGATCGTACCCACCGTACTACCAGGTATCTCCCTGACATAGGCTCTGGTCACTACGTTTATGTTTCATTCCTCTGCACAAAAAAATAAGCGAATCTCAGAAGATATGAATCTTGGAAAATTCTGGTAAGGATTATAAACAGCACTTGTTGAGAAATCTGAGTCTGGATGAGAATGATTTTCTTTATCAGAGAACGAAAGTGCCGTTATTCTGATGAAACTTTGAACTCACCTTATGGTCCGAATAAACAACTATCAAAAAATTTGACAAAGGATTGATGGCCATTGCAGTTGGCGCGTGGGTGTACCTTGGAAGGCTTGTTTTGAACTGAAAGACAAAAAACAAAGTGGGCTTACAACATGTTGGCACTACCAGTCAACCTAGTATAGTTTGTACTATGTATCTCAAAGCTATACATATATGTCGCAGGCAAAGAGTAAAATCAGGTATTTTGTCCAATGCCTAGGAAAATAGTGAATTTTTTTGCTTAGATTGAAATTCTGATTTTTTTGTGCTAATTGTAAACATAGTAATTCATTGCTCCTATGAATACAGAAATCGGTGTAAAAACGTGCATCACAGAATAGTATTTTGAATGGTTTTGTAGCCCTTGAACGAACAATTATGTTAACATTTGCAGCACGTTATAAAACACAAACTTTTAAAAATTTGTGTATTCTGTATTCTTGCATTCTCTCTATGTATTGAAGAGGAAAGAACAATGAATCATTTCTATCAAATTCAATCTGCTACGGTATTTGATAAGATGACTGATTTAATAAATTGCCAGTGACATATACAAAGTTTCTAAAAAAAGTATATGGCAATATAGGGGACATCAACCCAAAAAATCAAGTTTCGCTAAAACGACAGCTTAGGGTGAGATATGAACAGAGGTACAATTGAGGCCATACCTAGAATAACCACCCATAGCAGGAAATAATAGTTGTGAGAACATTGCATTTGAGGTTTTGATTATTTGATGCATTGCTGAGTTACCGCCGTAGGCAAACTGCAAAAGCACTTTTTTGAAATTGATTGTACCCTTTGAGCGATCCATTGTGCAAATTTGGAAAATGGTTCAGTTGTAGAATTGTTGATTTAAAACATGTTGTAATGGGTGGTTGTTCCACCTTCCACCTAGTCTCAGGGTAAAATGTCTGAATAATTATTTAAAAAATGCCTCACTGCTCTAAAATTTGATTCTTTAGCCGAGTAACCAAGGGATTGACTTGCCATCCATTACTACCAACTGATGCTTTACAACAGTTATAAAATGTCACATAACACAAAACAACAGTCTTATGATGTTGATGAGGCGCGTGATTGCGTTGATGGGCAGAAAAACACTGATACATGTATGGGTACGCATTTTGCATGCACTAACCACTTGGTCTAACCTCACTACTTTAAAATTGGATTCTTTTGGATTTAGCCAAGTAATCAAGAGATCGACTTGCCATCACTACCACCATCTATACAAAAGGATACAATAATTTGAATGGACAGGGAGGCAGAATATCCACTTATACAAGTATAGGTGGTTTTTCTCATGTAGTTCTCAATTGCTGCGTTTGAACTCCAGTTCGTCCGCTTACTCTGCAACAAAACCGAAAATCTCGTGATCCTATAGGTCCAGAAACGACCGGTGGACCACCAAATAGCAATAGCTAAGCTCCCAGCGAAATGCTGATATCTACTTGTCTTAGTTAATTTACAAGGCTCAAGGAAATTTTGTCGTTCCTTGATGCTTGGCTATGTTGACAATCTGAGTTCTATTTGTAACTGGACTACATTTTGAAGAATGGATTTAATATTTTAGGCTTATTTTAGAAACAATGTATAGTTGCTATTAATATCCCTATGAAAACAGATGCTTACTTTTCTCCTACACCTGATTCTTATACTCCTCCTTAGAGAACCACATTTTTTCATGACAAAATTTTACAAAGGGTGCCATTGGTGGAGTACATTGAGATGAACACATTGAAACTTCTCAAATTTCACTTATGAATTAAAAAATAACGGTTTCTATCTGGGTTAATTTTTATACTTCCTGCTCACAAAAAAACCATAATCCACTCGAGTCAAATCAAACACCCAAGTAATTTTAAATTTCAGTATATTTTACAATTGAATGATTTTCCTCGGTATTACCTTTTTTTTGGACAAAATTATCTTTGCTGAGTTCATCATTTATTTTGAGTAAGACTTAAAAGCTACTTACTCCTTTTAAAGACCAAACCCCAATGTTACTCTGTCTATCGGCTGCAATTATGTACTTTCCATCACATGAAAGTGCAAGTAAATGGATTAGATCGACTAAAACTGGAAAATAAAAATAACATAAGACAAATTATACTAAAGTTTCCCTTAGAAATAAGAGGACCGTGAAATGATAAAAATACATAACTCCAATCAATGTGAACTTTCCTTTTTTCTGAATTGCAACACTTTATTGCCGTCACCAGAAATGCCTTTTATTCAATAATCATTGAATGGCTTGAATGACAGAACTAGAACGCGTGTCAGATAAGTTGGCAGTTGTTAACTTTCTGTTAACAAGCAACTGCGTTCCAGTCTTCCAATGGCAATTTAGGATTGAATGCGAGCGATATCATGCACAGAGGAGTAAATTGGTCTTTTGCGCATGACAGTCAAAAGTGAGCAACTGCCAACTTATCTGACTTTGGACAGTTTCTACTAGGCATCATTGAATAAAGAAGGGGCTCCAATTGTTATGATGTTGCTACTTGATTCCCAAAGCACAGGTGTTTTCAGACTGTATTGAATCCAGAACAGTGGTGCCAACCCATAACTTACAGAAATTATTTACATATTCTCAGTAGAGCCACCGAAAAATTTGGGAACTTGAGATGGAAAAAACGATAGGAATTTTTGCATGAATATTGATTTCATGTAGTAAAAGTAGGGTGGATTAAAGGTTGCAAATAAAAAAGGATCTGGGGTATGAATGCCCATAAGATATAATCAGAGGCACTGCATTAACATTACTACAGAGAAAACTCCGAAAAGTAGGCACTGTTGGATAACCAATACAAGGTGTGGTCAAAAAGTTCCCGGACTGGTGCCACCCTGGGCTGAAGAATGGTCCAAACGAGCTAAACTTAGACTCGCTTGAAAGCTTATAGGTACTCTCACGAGTACACTCCTTTTTAGTTTTTAAAAAAATATTCATTAGTTTTCGCACAGCGTCAATTTTACGGAGACGTGTTTGCGCCGTGCGGCAATTTTGTCTGCGAACGAGAAATGACAAACATCCACTTCCAACTTTGAGGTGAATGATAAGACAGGTGCATCCAGCGATCACGCTGATATGAGTCTATCCTACCTCTGGTGTACTTGCACAAGATAAACCACTATTGTTTACCTGCAATTTTTGTTGCAATTTTTCGAACTCGAAAAATTGCATCTTGATGCGTTCCAAGTGACACATTTCAGGTAAACAATATTGGTTTATCTTGTGCAAGTACACCACTACACCAGAGGTAGGATGGATTCATATCAGCGTGATCGCTGGATGCACCTGTCTTATCAGCCACCTCAAAGTTGGAAGTGGATGTTGGTCATTTCTCGTTCGCAGACAAAATTGCCGCACGGCGCAAACACGTCTCCGTAAAATTGACGCTGTGCAAAAACTAATAAATATTTTTTCAAAAACTAAAAAGGAGTGTACTCGTGAGAGTATAAGCTTTTAAACGAGCCTAAGTTTAGCTCGTTTGGAGCATTTTTCAGCCCTTTTCAAAATTTTCTTTTTTGAATTAAAAAAATCGCCATGCGATGCAAACACGTCTCCGTAAAATTGACACTGTGCAAAAACCAACTGATATTTTTTCAAAAACTAAAAACAAGTGTACTCGTGAGAGTATAAGCTTTCAAACGAGCCTAAGTTTAGCTCGTTTGGACCATTTTTCAGCCCAGGGCGGCACCAGTCCGGGAACTTTTTGACCACACCTCCTATCAGGTAAATGCAAGACAGTGTGTCGCAGACAGAGAAAACAAAGGAACGTGATGTATAAACCTTTGTGGTGGCGTATAGTGCAGCACTCCGTGGGCACAAATCGAAATAGCTGATTTTTTTAAATTCAAAATTTGACTTAATACTTATAATACGAGGTCTGTTAGATTAGAAACCGGATTTTGGTCATAACTAGCCCACAATGCGTCCGAATTAGGTTTTCTTGAGCTTTCCTGATAGCTGAAAATATACTTAAGAACGCTACGTTCACAGATTTTGTGTATTTTGATCAAAGTTTATTCTGTGTCATCTCAAATACGAGTAAGTCAGGTGCGTTTTGCGATTTTAGCATGCGATCACTGACAGAGCAAAGATTCAACATAAAATTTTGTTTTAAACTCGGTATACCTTGTACCGAAACTTTTGGTATATGCTAAAAAAAGTTTACCATGATCATTTTTCGAGATGTCCCCACTGTTTTGAATGGGTTAAACGATTCAAAACTGGTCAGGAGTTCGTCAAAAATGAGGAGCATGGGAATCGACCCTCAACGGTGACTGACATTTGTCTTGTGGAAGAAATGCGGACAAAAGTGCTCGAAAATGGTCGTTTCGAGCTTGTTGAACAGAGTAATATTTCTGAAGGCTCTGTACATACAATTTTGATAGAATATGTAGACACGCATCGAGTTTCAGGTACACTTGCCCCTTGATTGTTGTCCGTTGAACGAAAATCCAACCAAATGTCAAATTACCTTTAGCTGCTTGAACGTTCTAACAATGATCCTACATTTTTGGATAGGATAATTTTCGGTGACAATACTTTAGTGTACAGCTACGATATGGAGACGAAACTCCAATCGTCCTTGTGGGTTGAAAAATGTTGTGCAAGACCGAAAAAAGAGAGACAAGTTCGGTCAAACATAAAAATCGCAAAACACCCTTGAGGTCGCCTTACTTCAAGCCACATACCAACGAAGTTAATTAAGATTTTTCAAATTTGTGAACGTAGCGTTCTTAAATATATTTTCAGCTATCAGAAAAGCTCAAGAAAACGTAATTTGGACGCATTGTAGGCTAGTTATGACCAAAATCCGGTTTCTAATCTAACAGACCTCGTAAGGAACGCTTTTCTAGAGAGGAATAACTGCTCATTTCAGCTTTTCATACGCAGATCACCAGGAATAAGCGTGAAAAGTTGAAGGAAAAATGCCGGCACTGAACGTCTCCATTGATAACAAATGGGGAAAAGAGATTACACTTAAAAAGACTTCTTTCCAGAAGTACGCAAAATATTCTGAGTTGTTGAAATTTTCTTATTCCTTCTTTGTCTTACTTTGACAGTGTCAAAGGATTTTTCTATGTTGCTGCTACTTTCTTTGTTATACGTAGTTTAAGTTTGGTTGTTTTACATTGCACTTCCATTGTTAATCGAGGTTGTCTTCATCACCAGCACGGTAAGTACTAGGGTGGATCGAATTTTTCGACTTTGAGAAAAGTAACGCGTATCTTCGAAAAAAAGTTGTCAAATGGGCCCCATATGAAGTACCCAAAATTTCGCCGCATAAAATTGACCCCCCAGTACCGCATGAAGGCCTAAAAGGCCTAAATTTTTAATATATTATATTAAAGGTTCAAACACATGTTTCCTTACAGATTTTGTCCAATTATTGTTCTAAAGGGCGTGTATTTCGTCCGTTTTGACGTATCGTGCACGAGTAAAGCACAATTGGCCTGTTTTCACCCGATAAATTGGCGGTAGCGCCCTCCAGAATGGCCCATCTTCAGTAATGTCGTAAAAGTGGAAGTGACTAGTCAATCCTTATTGATTTTGACGAATTACGACCCCAAGGGCCGAAATTTCGTCCGTTTTGGCGTATTTCTAACCTTTCACCCACAAACATGCGGATAGGGCGTTCGAGCGATGCACCGCGCGGATCGTCGCGCTGCGTCCACGTGGTGCCCGCTTTGACCACTTTTGCGACATTACTGAAGATGGGCCATTCTGGAGGGCGCTACCGCCAATTTATCGGGTGAAAACAGGCCAATTGTGCTTTACTCGTGCACGATACGTCAAAACGGACGAAATTTACGCCCTTTAGAACAATAATTGGACAAAATCTGTAAGGAAACATGTGTTTGAACCTTTAATGTAATATATTAAAAATTTAGGCCTTTTAGGCCTTCATGCGGTACTGGGGGGTCAATTTTATGCGGCGAAATTTTGGGTACTTCATATGGGGCCCATTTGACAACTTTTTTTCGAAGATATGCGTTACTTTTCTCAAAGTCGAAAAATTCGATCCACCCTAGTAAGTACTCTGTGTTTTTGACAATGATGATTCTACATGGGAAAGTATGCCATTGTAGAATATTGTACTACAGCATAAATGAATTTTGACATTATACTGTTCAAAACTCAGCAAATCATAGTATTCATAGTGTAAGAGCCTCTCTTTCAGATCACCAATGAGAATATTCATTACTGGACTTATAATTGTATCCATGATGATATGAAAGTGTAGGTACTGACGGTAATTTCAAGAATGCCAAGGTTAGGGGCATTAAATCTTTCATCATCCAACATACTAATTGAGGATCCCAAATGAAATAAAATGCAGGCCCAGATTTGCTAAAATATAAGAGAAGAAAACATTTTCCATAAAGTAGAATGGAAATGAAACTAACAGAGTGACTGTCCAGAGAACAAACCGAAAATAATGATGTAACTGTAGTTAGAAAGAAAATGTTCAGGAGTTTGTACCTAGTCACACACCGCATTTAGGAGTTACTTATAGTTTCTCATTCATTCTCAGAACAATTGGATACACCAATTCTCCAATAAAAAAACTGTTGGGTGAAAGAGCACAGCCAAAAATTTAAATAATTCGGTGAGCTTCAATAATCAAGGGACGATAGTGAGCTGTATCGGGTGATACGCACACAATATGACTTGATAACTGCGCCCCGTGCTCAATATTTCTAAAAATAGAAATAGATGAATTTTCACTGATAAATGTTTAAACAAAGCTGAAGCACAGGATGTGATCATACCAATTTCTTTAAACAATTCTACAGCTGCTATTTAATTGAGAAAGATATCTGTTTCTTCAGCCATGGCTCATTTAGCCACGTGGCAAACTGCAACAAAAATTTTGCAAATTGCCACAAACTCTAGGTGCTGTGTGGCTAAATGAAACAAGAACGATTAGTGTGGCAAAATGCAACAAAAATTGTCGCAGTCAGGCAGTCTTTGGAATGGCCTACCAAATTCAGCAAAAAAAATTGTTATTTGTCCTCCCATTTTTATTTTACTACAGTGTAAGTGATTTTATTGAAGATCTGGAATAGATTAAAAAGTATAAACAACCATTCGTATTGAAACCAATTTTTATTTTAATAATTTTACCATCCTCCACTAGTAACCAATGCAATACTGATTCTACTTTACGCTGAAATACATGAAAATCTACTGATAGGAAAGTATCCAGAGGAATTATTCACCACATACGTTCAGATCTTCTTCCTTAGGTTAGGTCATGTTAGGTACGGTTAGGTTTAGGTCATATTAGGTTAGGTAAGGTTAGGTTAAGTTGGGTAAGGTTAGGTTAAGTTGGGTAAGGTTAGGTTAGGTTATGTTGGGTCGGTAAGGTTAGGCTAGGTTAGGTTATGTTAGGTAAGGTTAGGTTAGGTTATCTCCCGTATTGTTTTCATTGTTTCGAATTTTGTACATTTCTTTTGTATTTTTTCCTGTGCAACTGTATTGCTTTTATTTTTAGTTTCATATTTTTCTCTTACGTTACTTCTTCATTCAATTTGTTAATCAACCATAAAGGAGGCTCCCTATTTCCCTTAAGTGGATGCATGGATGGAAGTATGAATATGAACGGAATGGTCATATTACTACGAAATGTTAACGGTGTGTACTGTCCGCCCTGTGTGAAGGGGTTGGCAGTTAGGGCCTGTTACAATCGAAAACACGTGGGGGGTACGATGTAACAGGTCGTCATCCTATTAACCAAAATTGTGACCCGTAGGCAGTGTGGACTAGCTATAAGATTAAGCGCCTCCCGTCAGTACGGCGGCTGGGAGGACTCAAAAAAAAAAAAAAGGTTAGGTTATGTTAGTAGGTAAGGTTATGTTAGGTCAAGTTCGTTTCGATTAGGTTCGGTAACGCTACAATGCAGATACACGGTTTTGTCCTCTGGTCATGTGGCTAACTGCAACATAATTTGTTGCTCTTTGCCATACTAATTTTTCTTGTTTCGTTTAGCCACATAGCACCTAGAATCTGTGGCAAGATGCAACATTTCTTATCTAGCGGTATATTTTGACACGAGAAAAACGAAATTGACCTTAGATTTTCAAACAAACCGAAATTTCTAAAATGGCTGCTGGTTAAAGTTCAAAATGACAAAAAATTGTTTTTTTTTAGAAATCTAAGTTCAAATGTGTTAATCTTATGCCAAAATACCCTTAAATTCCAAGTTTCAGGCAAATCAATCAGCAATAAACCGAGGTGGCAATTTTCGGCCATTTTGGAAATTTCGGTTTTTTTTTTAAGAATCTCACGTCAAATTCATTTTTCTCGTGTCAAAATACCTCTACATACCGATTTTCAAGCAAATCCATCGACGTATAACCGGTGTGAATTTTCGGCCATTTCGAACTTTAACCGGCCGCCATTTTGAAACGGTTTGAGATATTGACTTCAGGTTTGCGCGAAAAGTTTTCTTTTTTTATGCTCTTTCGAACGAGCTATCACAAAGAGGGTCTTCCGATTTGAAAATTAAAAGTTGGGGTCCGTTGCCGCCCCCCCCCCAAGGGAGCCCCCCTGAAAATTTTAGAGAGGTCAAAAAGTAGCTCAATTTGACCTGGGGACATCCCCCAAGTTTCAAATCTTTACCTCAAGTAGGTAAAAAGTTAGGGGGGGTGGAAGGGACTTTTGGATCACCCTGTATAGAGTAACGAGGGGGCTATGCCCCCTGGCCGCTACGCGGCCCAACCCCCAGAGGACGCTTTGCATTCTCTTAGGCCAGCATCAACAAAAGAACGGCCAAAGAAAATAAAAAGATTTTCATACCCGACTCTCATTTACCCAATCTCCCTCTGGCCGGGAGCAATTGGACCAATAAGAATCGAATGAAAAAATCGGCATTTATTTCAAACTTCACGCCAAGACTTACACGAAACGGAACAGAGCGTTTCGTCGCTTTTGGATGGTCTGTAATAAAGGAGCATACCTCTGATTCACATTCTCTACTAACAAACGATGATTCAACATTTCCCGCTTACTTGAACTTTCCGCTAAATTTGAAATTCCTGCCATTATTCATTGGCGGGAATTTCAAATTTTGCCCCCCTTTCTAAGCTTTCTGTTTTCCTCTGATATAAAAAAACCTGGGTCCTATTTTCAAATTCTGATCACAGCGGGCTCATCTAGGGACCATGACCTGTCGATAACCGCGAAAATTATGGAAATCGGCCCTGTAGGACGCTCAAACAAACTATGACAAAAAAAAAAAAAAAATTACATTGTTTAAATGGGAAAATTCGCAACTTTACCATGCAATATAAAAAAACCTAGGTCACATTTTCAAAATCTAAATAAAGCGGGTTTATCCAGAGACAATGGCCTGTCAATAGCCGCAAAAATCATGAAAATCGGCCGGTAAAACGCTGGAACTAAGCGTTACCAGGTACACAAATTTAGGAGGTCTCGGAGCTTATATATATATGATAATGATAATGATCTAATTCCGAAACAGAATTTATTTAGTTTTACAGCACTGAGACAAACACGGCGTAAAGCTACAGAGAAGGATCAGACTGGCTAAATAAGCTGTGGCTAAATGAAACGTAATCCTTGCTCCGCACCCATTAAACAATCTTTGATGAAAATACGTTAGAACAGTAATAAAACCACGAATTCATCCTCACATCTACATCAATAACCACCGAACCACCACCCTCCTCACACCTTCAAGCACAGGCTCAGAGTTAGCACGAGATTTCGAATGCACCAAGGATGCTTGAAACAAACATCCACATAAGAGGTAATTCGCCCAACATCTGCCTGTTTGCACTGATCGTATCAGCCTATCAGGTCATAAGAGGATCCGCTAATCAAAGATAAAAATACACGCAAAGGTAAAGGAAATTCCTTGGAACCTAAAAATGTCCCAAGTAGAGGAGTACCCGCTTTCAGAAATTTTACTGTACGGAAATTCCAGAAAAATAAAAGCATACCTTCATCACGAGTTTTGAAGACATTTGAAACGATGAAATTATTTTCCTTTCCTTTGATCTGCATATGTACTATGCATCCGTCAAGAGTGGCCAGAACTAACGATTTACTATTAAATCCAAAATTCATGCAAGAAGATGCTATGCACTGCTCAGGAAGGTTTTCCAATTTCTTCAAAGAACATTTTTCACCATTCTGAAAATAATTAGCCAAAGATTAATTTTCATTATACTAGAGAAGTTAATGTGTGGACTTTGCAGGAATAAAAAGAACACAAAGTCAATAAATTTTCACCTTATATGTAAACGTTATGTTAGCAAAAAAAATCTGCAATGAAAAGATATGAAGTTAGCGATAAATTATAATTCATGACAAAATAAGAATAATCCACAGAAGACCTAGAGTGTGGGGAAAATGTAGTTGCTAGAGTTGTAGTGTGAATTATTCGAGTTGGCCTGTTATCCCTCTATCCTCCTATTTTGTTGAAAATAATTTTGCTTCTCAATGTTTCCTATTAGGCCAGTGCGAATAGTGAATTTTTCAAACGAAGGGAATAGCAAATAATTTTGCTAATTATTCACGAATAGCGAAAAATTTAAGTCAATTTTTCACAACTAAGAATAGTAAAAAAATTAATTTAAAATAACTTCTTAAGTGCGAAAATTTGCAAATATTACAAAAGTCGACAAATAAGTGTGATTAATTTTTTTAAGAATTTTCCATTTGCTCATACACCTGCACAGAAAACGATGAAGTGCTATGACAGTAACATAGGCTGTTAAGAATGTGTTTAAAGATCCCTGGATGCCGGCTTGCCTGTTTCTGCAGTAATGTATGCATTCCAAGGATTTGAAGGTAACTGTGCGGGCAGTTAAGCTAGTATCTAAAGATCACCAGACGCATTTTAAGTATTTCATTTTTTTCGGTGTTAATAAAAAAAGTGTTTGAGAACTTTCCCCTCTTTCCGTCTTGGTTATTTAACTTTCAATGTGCAGTACTCTTGGAGCAACCAAGAAACGCGGGCCGATCGCAATCGCTAGCGTTGTTTGTTAAGTCAGCAAAGTCGGTAAAGATCAATGGAATTCCGCCGTTCACGATGTCTTGGATGGAAGCCTTGCGCAGGTCCTCGCAACGATTCATGATTGCGAAATTCGGAAATTCGTTATTTTTGACGACACGAATAATTGCGAATATTTGAAAATAGTGGTTCGAAAATTCACTCTTCGCGACAGCGCGAATATTCGCAATTTGCGAAGAGTGCGCGAGTCAAACGAAGCGAATATTTCCACAGCCCTGCTCCTATATTATATTTTGGCTGAAGATCCTTTTTGATGCTTGTATGAAGAATTATAACTATATATAAAGCTGCCGTACCGACTCACTCTACCCCCTAGAAAAAAATTGGCCAAAGCGATTTTCTTTTAACTTGGTAAACACCTCAGTACGGTCGAAAGGAATAGAAAACAATATAAAGTCTATGAAAAGTTGTCGAGGATGCTTCCAAGAGAGAAAAGTTGCTTCTCCCTACAGTAATGCATTGGAGATACAAGGTTGTTCATGCGAACTACGCTGAACAGGTTGAATTGGGTCACTCTACGTCACAGCACCGTCACCGTGTGTCTTGTGTCGCGTGCCTCGATTGCGTTCAATCTCCCAATTATGCAACTTCCTCGCAAGCTTTTCCATCGCTTTACGCCTTTTTAATACATAAGGGGGGAACACTTATTCAAAGTGAAGCTTTGAAGTGACGTCTGTTTAGCCAAGTGAGGAACAAAAAAATAAATAATAAAAAAATAAATGATCTTGTTTTAGCTAAGTGTTGCCATCAATTATCTGCACGGAAGAGCGGCCACTCTGCCGTACTAAGGAAGAACGCTGTATGAACCAAAAAAATTTTTTTGAGTTTGATATGAAATTAGACTAAGTGAAGCATGCTCTGTTCAATGGTGAAGTCAGCAAAGGCGTATCTTCATTGGTTTCAGAGATATGGGGGGAGGTACCTGCCGTATGTCCCGCATAGAGGCGAGGTTACAACGATAGATTGCCATATGTATAGGAAACTCGGGACGCGGGTAGCACTCACGGCGTTTTTCCCCATGCTTTGCGGACATCCGGCACTCGCCCTGTGCAGCCCTCGCCAATTCCCGGACTCACGGCGATGTTGGGCCGTTGATCACCCCTACCACCAACCCTTTCATCCGATTTCAGGGTTCCAGTTATGCATGCTCTGAGTAACTGTGATCACTTATGCTGTTTGTCATCTGCTGGTAGCATGTGATTCGTTTTCGGATAGATACGCATTCTCCTTTCGTTATCATTTTTGTTCGAAATGTTTCTGGGTGCAAGTTCTACCTTGTTCTTTTAAGAATTAGAAACTAAGATTTTGCCATGAAATTTTTACAGTATATTATTTTACGTTTGAAGACGATTAATGAGACCTTGAACAATTATTTTTTTTTATGGTCAATTCTTCATGTTTTTTTTTTCCTTCTTTATTTATGTATAAACAAAATGAGAAAGGGAGAATTCAAACGCCGATACAAACGAGCTATGTTGTTTTAGTTAAGTTCGTAATTTTATTAATTGGATTGGTTCCGCTGCTTATCTTACTCAATTCTAAAAAGGACATCATATTGTCCACTAAATTTGCGTAAATTCTCGGCATTTTGAAACCGTCAATTATATTCGACGATCTTTCTCCACATTGTCAGTGGAAAATTGTATACCTAAATACTTTTTTAAACAAGTTCTTACGTTGAATTTTCCTTTTATATTTTTGAAGTTTAGATTTCATGAGTAAGTAAATTGAGTAATTTGAAAAGCTGGCCTCGTAATGAAAAAAATAATTTGATGAATGCGGAATAGTCCTCGAGGTAAAAAGTGAAACAAGGGAGAAAAACAAAGGTTGCAAAGGGAAAGAAAGGATTTTTTTCCCTAAAATCAGGAAACTACTAACCACGAACATTTTTTTTTTTCGCGCAGAACTTACTTTCTTCATTTAAGGCCAACTTTCAATTTAACATTCCCCTTATTCAAATAAGAAACATACAAATAAAACAGAAAAATATGAAGCTTCTGATTCAGTTGCAGTTACTTTCACATTAACTTTCCTTTTTAATTTTTATTTCAATTTTTAAAATAGCTCTACACCTTAAAAACACGGACGGTTAATGATCTTGGTTATAGGTAAAATGATTTCTGCAAAAATAAACCTCACAGAAACAAAAGAGGAGAAATCCCTATGCCGCAGCCGGCAGCATTAGAAACATGTCCTTGGCACTAGGAGGATGGACATTGGACACACGGCAAAATCGGCACAGTGAAAGGACCCTGCCTGCATGGGCATTTTGCCGTGAGTCCGACATACCCTCATTCTTTCGTGATTTTCCAGGAAGTCATTATCTTCTTTTAAATGATCCAAGCGCTAATGAACAGCCAAGGGATCAAGCTGTCAATAGGAGAAAACGAAAACTTAAAATTCGCAAATCTCGCAGAGAGGCATGCTGTAGACTTTGAACGTAAATATCTCAGTTTGAATCTGATGGTTCATACGGCGTTCTTCCTTAGCACGGCAGCACTCTACTTTGACTAAACAGCCATCACTTTGAAGCTTCACTTTAAACGTTTGGCTGGCCCTCTATTGTTAGCCCATCTGCGCTTAAGTACCTCCTCAAAATTATATTACATTTTTAACTATGTGTTTACTTTCCATCTTACTGGTCATTCACCTCACTGATAATATGTTTCTTTGATTTCCCCTCTTTTTTCTTTCTCCTTTATTTTCCTCCTTTTTATTTTATCTTTGATTCCCTGTACTTCTTTCTGAATTTTTCTTTTCTCTCTCTCTCTTTATTCTCCTAATTTTCTCTATTAGCCTAATGCATTTTATTAAGTTTCAATTTCCTTTCCTTTCATTTTTCTTTTTGAATTAACTTCTTACTTCTTTTTCCTTTTTTCATTTCCTTCCTCTTTTTATCTTTTTTTTTTCTTTTTTCTTTTTTTTTCTGTCTGATAAAGAAGAGTATGTTTTAAAATTTTTAGGTAGTGAAACCTGGAAGGTAAATCCCTCTAACGACGAAACTTTTAGAAAAATCTCTGAAAAACTAAACGAAAGAGAAGTACAATGGTATTCTCACTCCAATAAAAACACTCGGAACATCAAAGTTGTATGCAAAGGTCTCCCCCCCTCCATACCTGAAGATGAAATTGTCTCGGATCTCCTTTCAAAAAATTTCAAAATTAAATCAGCCGTTTGCATGAGAAAAATAGTAGAGAAACAACAGAAAAAAAATGAAAAAACAACTATGACTATGGATACTGATGATCCTCAATCTACTATCCCCCTTCAAACTACCCCTTTGGTAACAACATCTGAAAATCAAACCACAAATGCTAAACCTAACAAGGAATTCGAACTCATAAAAATACCAGTTCATCAACTTGATTTTGACCATTCAGAATCAATAGAAAACATCTATAAGATCAAAGCAATTGCTCATACTATTGTTAAAATAGAGCCAATGAAGATAGATAATAAGATAGTTCCACAGTGCCGAAGATGTCAGTGTTTTTCGCATACTCACAACTTTTGCAGAAAAAATCCACGGTGTGTCAAATGCGCAGGCAAACATTTATCTCCTGAGTGTCCTTTTAAAGGTCGGATCTTAAATCCAAAATGCGTAAATTATGGCGCGATCGGTCATCCCGCAAGTTATCGCGGATGTCCCTTTGCGAAAGAATTTCAAATTGCACGAAAAAAGCAACTCCAAGCTAAGAAAAACTCCCCTGATCAAGAAAGTTTTCCGAAATTAGGGAAAAATATTCCAACTCATGTTCCTCCAAAGAAATTAGATGGGACTTTTGCTCAAGCATTATCAGGCAATACAGCTACTCCGGCAACACAGGGCGCAGGAGACAGTTCCGCCGCTCTGATCGGTGTCTTATTACAAACAATAGAAACTTTGAATGCTCAGCTCAGAGTTCTCACCGAGAAAGTGAGTAAACTTGAAGCTAGCCAGAAAAGATAAATAAAGAAATGAATGACTTTTTTAAATTGAATTGTGATTCATTGACTAATCCGAATTTCTTAATGTCTCAACAGGAAAATTATCCAGAAATCAATTTCGATGATGTTAAAGAGCTACGAGCAAAGACAAATTGCAAGTCATTAAACATTACGGCATGGAATTGCGGAGGACTGACCCGGGTTAAGGCCGAAGAATTCAATGTCACACTAAGGGATTTCAATGTGGACATAGCCCTATTATCAGAAACCTGGTTCACCAGGACCGATTATGAAAGGTATTTTGCTGGATATAAAATGTTTAGCTCATTTCATCCAGCAAATAAGCACAGAGGTGGGTCTTCCATTATAATTAAAGAAAACATTACTCACAATCTCATCAAGTTGATAGAGACAAATGCTTTTCAAGTTCAAGATGTGTTGTAATCGTAAACGTGCAAACTGAATTAGACTCTTTCAACATAGCCTCAATATACACTCCACCCCGTAACATCCTCTCAACTGAGGAATACACTGAGTTTTTGGAGGAATTAGGCCCGAAGTATCTGATCGGTGGGGATTGGAACGCTAAAAATCCTCGATGGGGATCCAGGATAGACAACCCTAAAGGCGTATCACTTCTAGAAGCAGTTAATTTGGTTGGCGGGAATTTTATATCCCCCGGAAACCCGACAAATTTTCCCACTAATCCAAGCCACCAACCTGATCTAATAGACTTTTTTATTTTTAAAAATATTAAGTAATCTAATCGATCAAACTTCATGTGACACACTTATGTCAAATGAAAAAGGTCATGCTAAAGTCATTTTAGAAACTTTTACCAATCCTATTCTTGAAAATCGACCCCCGGCATTATGTTCAAAAAGAACAAACTGGGATAAATTCAGACAAGATCTTGAAAAAGTCATAGATAATAGTGTTCAAGTCCTCTCTCCAGCAGATATCGATAGAGAGACAGAATTATTGGTGGAGAATATCAGAGTATGTGCCACTCCTAACATCCCAGTTGCCTCAACAAACATTAAACCCTATGCAATACCTAAAAATCTCCTTAAACTTATCCGTCTTAAACGGAAAGCAAAAAGGATTTCATCAAACTCTCATTTCCCTGAAGATAACACTAATTACAATAGATTAAACGCCATAGTTAAAAAAAGAATACAAGAATATCTTAATTTTGAATTTGAAAAATTCATTAATTTTCTTTCCCCAACTGCCGATAAGAATTACTCTTTAAGGGCAGCCACTAAATATCTTAAAAAACCAAAACAATTAAAATTTCCGATCAGCAAGCCTGATAAAACTTGGGCAAATACAGATGTTGAGAAGGCAGAAATTCTTGCGGATCATTTTGAGGCAGCTTTCCAGCCTCATGATGATCTGGAAGTTCAAACAGACTCTGATGCTCCCGCCAGTATCTCTGACCCGGAGTCGGAACAGGGGGAAATATCCACATTGAAACCCTGTAGGGTCAGAAAAATTCCACCGGTAAAAATTAAATCTATCTCCCCATTGGAAATCCTGAAGGAAATCAAAGGGAAAATTAAAGCAAAAAAAGCACCGGGTTTTGATAAGATCTCTGGTCTCATTCTTAAAAATTTGCCTAAAAAGGCAATAATGAAACTAACGGTGTTGTTTAATGCAGTAATTCGTTTCAAATACATCCCATCACAATGGAAAATGGCTGAAATTTTTGTCCTTTTAAAGCCAAATAAGTCCCCCACTGAAGCCTCATCTTATAGACCTATCTCTTTGCTGCCAGTAATAGGCAAATTATTTGAGAAGCTCTATATAAAAAGATTGAACGAAATTGTCTCTAAACAAAATTTAATTATAGATGCACAATTTGGTTTCCGTGCAAAACATTCTACGGTGGACCAACTACACCGTATTACTAAATTTATAGAGGATTCTCACGAGAGGGGAGAATACTGCGTGGCTGTTTTTCTGGACGTAGCACAGGCATTTGATCGCGTCTGGCACGAGCGTCTCATCGAAAAGCTTTATAAAATGCTCCCATGTAACCATGTGGAGCTCTTGTCATCCTTTCTCAAGGGTAGACAATTCCGAGTTAGGTATGAAAATACTACCTAGGGTTTCAGACCTATAAGGGCAGGAGTTCCACAGGGTTCCTGCCTTTCCCCCTTCTCTATTCCCTTTTCACCATAGACATTCCGCAGTCTGGGAGAGGGGGGAAACTGGGAGTTTATGCCGATGATACGCTTGTGTTAGCAGCGTCGAAAAGCTACAGGGAGGGACGTTTTAACGCTCAATCCCACCTAAACAGGATTAATAAATGGACAAACAAAGATAAGACCAAATTAAATGCGTCTAAATCGGTAGAAATTGTATTTACCAACAGGCCATTTACTCATATTCCTCTTCACTTAGGAAACTCTGAAATCCCTCGCGACAGTCGCCCGATATCTCGGCCTCCACCTGGATTCCAGGCTCAAGTGGGGTGCGCACATAAAGAAAAAAGTCGAGCAATTAAGACTTAAATTTCATGATATGCAGTGGCTGATTGGCCGCAAATCCAAGTTATCTCTAGAAACCAAACTGCTCCTCTACAAGTCAATGTTGAGGCCGGTTTGGAGTTATGGCTGCCAGTTGTGGGGCTGTGCAGGGAAGTCAAATTTAAAAAAGATAGAAGTCATACAAATGAAAATATTACAAAGCATTTCAAAAGCAAGATGGTATGAGAGGAACGCGGATATTCGCGCCGACCTCAACATTGATTCTGTAGAGGACTACATAACAAAAATGTATAACTCTTACGAAACTAGGCTGCATAGGCATCCCAACCCAGAAGCGCTTGCGCTTCTGGAAAAGGACCAATGCACCCGAAGATTAAAACGTCACAAACCCCACGAGCTTGGAATTCAGGGGTTCTCAAAATTATCCTTCTTTTAAACTGATGGGCCTCCTTGTGCTTTTCGAACGCAAGCAGGGGTTCTAGGGTTTTTGACCGGGTTCGGTCATCCGCGTTCCAAGTCAAAGCAAAAAGACATTTTTACTTTGAAGCAAAATTGTTTCATTTTTCCCTCCTCATTTTTCAGAGGTTGTGTTTCTTTTTATGTAACTAGTATAAGTTTATCTTATAAGTTAAACCCAAGTTTTTTAAAGATGTATCTTACATCTAAAAACATTCTGTACATACGAGGGTCATCCAAAAAGTAAGTTTCCCTACCTTGTATCTTCCGAACAAAAAGAGATAAAGCAAATCGGTAAAGAGGCACATATAAGGCACACTCTAAGCTTAGTAGGTAAAAAGGCACATATTAGGCATACTCTAAGCTTTAAAACAAGCTCAAGTTTTTGAAAATCGGTCAAGGAGTTCGCGAGTAAACTTAATTTTACTGAGACAACCTCCTGTCGCCGCGTGCCCACCTCCGGGGTCAGGATGCGCGGAGAGTCGATTATAGAAGACTCGGGTTATCGCCTCTACACACCACATCAACAAGAAATTTTAATGTTTTCATTGAGTAGGCCTTACCTTACTCTTTGACATAGTCTCCACATCTTCTTTGACATTTTTGGTATCATTACAGCAGCTCCTTTATGCCTTCCGCGTAGAAGCTTTCGCCTTGACTCTGAAACCAGTCATTGACAGCGATCTGTACCTCTGAATCGGTTGAAAATCGCTTCCATCGTGGAAGTTTTTCCGCTCGGGAACAAATGAAAGTCACATGAAGCTAAAGTACGAAAGTTTGGAGGATTGGGGGAAAATTTCCCTACGCAAAGCAACTGATTTGGGAGTGCAGATCGCTGTCAATGACTAGTTTCGGAGCCAAGACGAGATCTTCTACGCGGAGGGCGTCAAGAAGCTGCTGTAATGATACCAAAAATGTCAAAGAAGATGTGGAGACTACGTCAAAAAGTAAGGTAACTACTACTAACTACTAGTAAGGTAGTTACTCAATGAAAACTTTAACATTTCTTGTTGATGTGATGTATAGAGGCGATAACCCGAGTCTTCTATAATCGGCTCTCCGCGCATCCTGATCCCGGAGGTGGGCACGCGGCGACAGGAGGTTGTCTCAGTAAAATTAAGTTTACTCGCGAACTCCTTGACCGATTTTCAAAAACTTGAGCTTGTTTTAAAGCTTAGAGTATGCCTAATATGTGCCTTTTTACCGATTTGATTAATCTCTTTTCGTTTGGAAGATACAAGGTAGGGAAACTTACTTTTTGGATGACCCTCGTAAAAACAAAATAGCGATTAAAACATTCATGTATCAATGGGAGAAGAAAGCCAGCTTCATGCTCATCTCTTGGGCTGTAGTCAAAGTATTCTTTTCCCTAAAGGTTGTCCAGTCTTACACATTTTCTCAGGTCTTCATTTGCCTATTTGATCAACACGCTCCTACAAGTATTAGCCTGTACTATCTTCCAGGTAGTGCTACTGATTCCGAGCCTCGGCTAAAGAGGAGGTTCCAGAGATGAGGCTAACAACCTGCCTCCGGTAAAATGCCTAATCTGCTTAAAGATGCAAAATGAAGCTGACAAACCAAAATTTAAAAATTTACACTTACAATTTCTAACTTGAACAAGTGAAGCTTGAAATCTGTAGAATAAGCAATTAAATTTCCATCCGGAGAGAATGCACAGCATCTAATCCTTTGTTTTTGAACAGAATGAAGTTCTAGCATTTTTTTGGGCTCCTCTTGAATTTCTAGGTTTATCTTTTCTGGATCTCTTGCACCATAACTTGAATTGGCAGAGCCTAGCTTCCAAACTTCTAATTTAGTTTTGTATTTAAGCAGAATGCAGCGTTTGCTTTCCGAGATAACTGCTCGCGGAGGCTGTAAGAAACAAAGAAATATGGATAAAAAAAACAGTGAAAAAATGATCATCTAAAGCAGCCAGTTGACCAGATATTAAGTACAGTTGTGAGTTACGTTTTCAATGGATCGAATTTGGATTTTTTTTTTTTTTTGGAATAATGTACAGGTAATTCGGATAATATTTAAGGATAGACATGATGGAGAATTGTCAAAATTACAGCCAAAAAGTTTTAATTCCTCAGGTTCTGAATTGAGAATTTTTATTTTCGTTTCCCCTGATTTTAGCATTGTTTTGATAATTTTCCTTTCGTGGATTAGATCCAGAATACATGGATGTTTGTTAAATGCTTTAGACTAGATAGGCACACTTGTTATCTTTTACAGTCCCACTATTGATTCACTTACTGCAACTTAGCAATCACTCTAGAGATCACTTTGTGTCAGAAGCACCACAAGTAATCCAGTAGGAAAACTGAGAAAATAGCATTCAAAACAGCAACAAAATTTGGGATTCTTGGCTGGGTTGTGACTGAATATAGACATGAATGACGTCATTGATAATGAACGTATTGATAAGATGCATACTAGGGTGTCCCAAAAAAAGTTTGACCCCCAAAAAGCTACGTTCTATGGTTATAAAAGTGTTCCATTTGGTTAGAAAACACTTTTGACAAAATTTCAGATTTATAGGTAAAGTTTGAGTGCTGCCGCATCGCACATTTGTGAAAGGAAGAGTATCAATTAGGGCCTTTTCCGGCCCCACCTGGATTCTTCTGAATGTTTCATATTTTCAAAGTACTAGTCCTAGGTAGACTTTATGCCAAATATTTTACTGGACGGAGCCCATGCAAAGGTGCAGCAATGCCTCAAACCCAAAATCCTGGCATCGAAAAATAGTTATTTTCGTCTACTTTATCGACTGTTATAAATCTCCCAGCATTTTTTGTCAAAACTATGCTATTAGAAGTCGACTACCTCCAGTTCATACACCGCACGGTGGAACGATTAATGGGAATGCCCGGTCATCGCCTTGCTCCCCAACTTGTTTCGACTATTCCACTCGTTCCAATGGGCATTTCGTGATGAAACTTGGGCATCACATGGTGTTTCGATCGCAGAATTTATTTTTGACCTTTCTTCACTTGATTTATAGACGGAAATACATAATTTTGGGGGTTCTTTCTAACTTTCAGTAGAAACGTGAAAAGATAAGTTACTCAAAAATGAATTTTACTCGTTCCTGTGGGCATATCGTGTTGAAACTTCGCGGGCTTGTGGCATTTTGATCGTAAAATTCATTTCTGACTTTACTTTTCTTGATATGTTAATGTAAATGCTCGATTTTTGGGAGTTTCCAAACTTTCGGCGGGAATATAAAAAAATAAGTTGCTCAAAGGTAAATTTTAATCATTCTTGTCGGAATTTCATGTTGAAACTTGTTACAATCATGGTATTTTGAACATAGAATTCATTTTTGACATTAGAATTGTTCGTATGTCGACGTAATTACACTACTTTGTTTTTTTTCAAACTTCTGATAAAAAAGAAAAGTTACTCGAAGATAGACTTACCTCGTTCTGGTAAAAAATATACGTGTTGAATCGTTGATGAACGATCATACTTTCATCTTAGAACCAATTTTTGAGCTTACTTTTGTTATTTTTTCATATGCATACGTGCTATTGAAGGATTTTATTTAAAAAATCGATCGGAATGCACAAGATAAATTTACGCAGAGATTTTATCTGTTCTGATTGACATTTTATGTTGCAACTATTGATTTCCTGTGATATTTTCATTGAGGAATAAACATTTGATATGACTTTTATTTCAATTGCTCGATCAAAAGACAAAAAGAAGCTATTTTTATCGATACTATGTGTCTCTCAATGTGACGAATGCTCATACTTCTACATCCATTATGAAAAAAATATCGTATTACCGTTACCTTCTGAGACCAATGAAAAATTCTAGTTTTATATGATTCCAAGAAACAATTTCAAACCTATAATTTAAAATATTTATAGAGAGATATCAATGTACATGGTTTTTTTTTTTTTTTTTTTTTTTTTTTTTTTTTTTGTTTGTTTTGCTTCAGACTTTATACAAATTTAAGTTTATACATAGCCATTGCAGGGCACAAAACCTATAAACAAAACTGAAAACTAAACGATCAACACTGTCAACGAGATTAAATTGTACCGTAAATCAGTCCATCTCATATCACGAATCACGATACCTAAGAATCAGTCGGGACACTTCCAACGCTTTGTATAGGATTTTATCTATACGACGCCTGAAGCGCCAAGCGCTTCGGGAGGTTGGGCTGCGAAGTAGTCCGGGGGTGTAACCCCTACTATGATGAATAATTCATTCAAAGGTATTGATAGAACATTCCACATTTTTATTTTCTCCTTAAAATGCCAAACAATCAAAAAAGATAAAAACAAAAACAGCTCTGTTTCCCCGCCTCGATCGCGAGGCAGGGAAACCTCTACGAACCTCTCGAATAATGAATTTTGGCCAAAAAATGGGCAAAAGTCAGGTCAAAATTGAATTCTACGATGAAAATACTGTAAGTACATCAAGTTTTAAAATGAAAATCCGACTAAGTGTATTAAGACGCCAAGATAATCCAGCAAGATGTAGAGAAACAGCGAATTCTGTCCTCACTTTTTCGGACAAAAATCGATGTAACTCTCAAATTGGCAGCTGGTGGCAGCCAAATACGACGGATTCCTCATCCTGAGGGATCAATGGAACACGCTATATACATGATTGGACGGCGAAATGGGGCGAAATTTATTAAAGTATATTCAAACTTTTATTTTCTTATTTTCGGAAGGGTCATCTTTGATCAGACATAACAACGTATAAAATTGAGTAAATTTAACTTTTTAATAGTGAAATATGTTCTTCATACAATCTAGAAAAAGATCCGAGCATTCATATTTGTGTCAATTATTGCCACGCGAAGAGGCAGGTATGGAAACCGACCTTAGAAAACAGAGCAAAATCGGCCGTTGCAGAAAATGTCAACTTCAGGAGTCCAGGGGGCAAAAGCATTTGATAAAATCATCAAACCAACACTAAATTCATGTTATATTTAATTTATATCAAAATTAGTGTATTAGAAGGCTACTATCTAAAATTTTCGGGCCTCTAGCGTGACTGCTTCGTCAATAAAAAAAATCATCAAAACGCCAAAAACATCAATTATTGGGATAGCAATTTGCGATGCAGTGCCTTAGATGCAATCAGGAGTTTCCTTCCGGAAATTCTGTAGTTGTAAAAAGCTTCAGTGCATAATGACTTATTTAAGTCCTTTCGGGGCCTAAAAAGGACCCCGCACACCTCTTATGGGAAGCTGCACCATGATGGATTGCCTTCTGACTTATGTCATTCAATTCTCCTCAAGATGCTGATCAAAAGTTATAATTGCGCCAACTTTCTACGATACACCGTTTTCGCAAAAAACCTAAGAGAAGATTCAAGTTATTCGGCGACTATGAATAAAAAGAAACAAAGTATTTGAGGACAGGCCCGATGTAAATAAGGAAAAAACGTAGCGCGTGTCCGTCTTCTTATCTGTACCTGCCGACTCAGGCACTATCTCCCTCCCGCACTCGCCAGGTAGACGTTCAGACTTTCCTGTTCTTATGCTCCTCAAGAATCTGATTTGGATAGTCGAGCAAAACGGCGAGTGGAATCCGAGATAAGACTGCCGCTCAGTGCGGGAGTTCCCCTGATTTGTTCACTCGAGTACTGATATGAGGAATCTTTCTGGCTTTTTATCGCCGAATAATTGAATCTTCTCTTAGGTTTTTTGCGAAAACGGTGCATCGTAAAAAGTTGTTGCAATTATAACTTTTGATCAGCATCTTGAGGAGAATCGAATGACATAAGTCAGAAGGCAATTCGTCATGGTGCAGCTTCCCATGAGAGGTGTGCGGGGTCCTTTCAATTTATGAGCGTACAATAAACTTGACTACATACCTGCAATAAAGGAGGATATTTGTAAAGTAATTTGTTGCTTTGCTGATAGGGCCGAACTTGAGCTGAGAAAGAGTGATCATTGTAACGCACAAAACCACTAAGAGCCAAATAGCCATCTATACCTGAGAATATTAAGAAATGAGTGAACATAATTGTGTATTCCAGTATTTAGGTATCTAAGTTATGCATCATCCTAATAAAAAACTCAAAAATATGGAATATTTTGACCCATATTGTAAAAATGAGGAAGGCCAGAAGAAACTTAATTACTTCCTAGAATACCAAGACATTTGCAGGCCATGCGTAATTGGGAGATCTTGAATAAATACAAAATTACTAGGGCTGTGCAAATATTGAATTTCGCAAACGAAGCAAATAGCAAATAATTTTGCCAACTATTGACGAATACAAAGCGAATAGCGAATAATTTAAGTAAATCATTCACAACTATGCATAGTAGTGCAAATGATTTACCACCACTATTTTAAGAACGAAAATTTGCAGATATTACAAAAGTTGACAAATACCTAAGTGTGATTGATTTTTTTTTAGTTTCCCATTTGCTCATATACCTGTACTTTCACTATGTAGTACTCTTGAAGCAACCAAAAATAATTGGCAACTCGGATTTGTCTGAAACTCAGTATCTAGAAGTAATTAGACGCGAGAAAAGCAAATTTGACAATAGATTTTTTTTAAAAAAAACCGAATTTTTAAAATTGGCAACCGGTTAAAGTTCAAAGTGGCCACAAAATGACAACCTCAGTTTTTTCAAAATCTAACATCAGATTCTTTTTTTTCGTGCCAAAATACTATGGGATACAACTGTCAGTCAAATCTATCGGCAAAAAACCGAAGTTGCCAATTTCCGGCCATTTTGAAACGGTTTGAAATATGCGGGCAAACCGCAATTGCGCGCGCTGTTCGTAAATTCAGCTAAGTCGGTAAAGATCAAAGGAAGTCCGAGTTTCGCGATCTCTCGGATGGATCTCTCGATGCTAGCAACGTTTCACGATTGCCACTCGGCAATTCGATACTCTGGAAGGCGCAAATATGCGGAAAAGTCGCTTATAAAATTCCTTATTTGTGAGGGCGCGAATATTCGCAAAAGTCGGTTTGTTCGCGAGTCAGTCGGGTCGGTTATTCATGATTCCCAAACATTCGTACACCCCTAAAATTTACAAAGTAAAGAAATAGAAATTCACCATCAGATCAAAAAACATGAGTAAAATTGGAGTGTTAAGAAGTTTTTACCGAAATACTGGGCTGTTGCGACACACAAGACATTCATTATAGCACTCAATTCATTTGTGTACCCCTAACAAAGTTACACACAGCTTTTCGATTTTCGATTTCAAAATAGAGCTCTGTAAAACTGAGTCAACTTACAACAGGAATGTTCTCTTTCTTTGAAATAGTCAAATGAAAATATAAAATAGAGGGAGAGGAGGAGGGGCTGAGTTATCTAAACAAATAATATTCAGAGTTGGATTGAGAGTTTGATACCTCTTTTCTTTATGAGTCTCTAAGTATGTCCTTGCTTCAAGTTGACAAATGGTTAAATTCATTTCCAAGAAACTTAACTGAAAAAAGAGAAAAAAAAATTTCTTTTTCGATATTTTGTTTGGCCATGCTTAGAGAATGATACTAATGCAGTTACAATTCAAACCAGGGCCGGATGGGNGGGGGGGGGGGGACGGATGAGTCGCAGCATATGGCGGACAATTTCAAAAGTCTCTTGGTCTCGTGGTCTTTTTGTCTCTTTTTAAGCATGCCAGTAGGGCTCGCTTACTGAAATCACTCGGATGTACCATTGTACCATAGTACAGTACACCAATGAACCAATGCTATTCAATGGGCGGTCCAAATTTTTTCTCCGTTGGATCCGTTTTTTCGTGTTTGACCTGTTATACTCTCAAACCTTCATGGTCATTCACCAAAAAACAGAATCGACTTTTCAGGAAAAACCCTTGAGAATCTTTTCCCATCGAAACTGTATTATTTTATTTGACAGAAACTTCAAATAACCTTTTCTTTGCTGAAAAAACTCAAATTTAGAAGCTTAAGCTGCCGCGACTTTATAACCAATGAGCGTTTTTTATTTAAGTCCTTGTTCGATCAAAAGCAGGTGACCGTTAGGCTGGCTCTTGAGAGGCCATCTCCCTTCTAATTATCCGAGGAGGCTGAAATTTTGCCCAGGCATCGGGGACGCCTAGTACAACATCAGAGCAAAGTTAGGGCCAAATCCAGGAGGGGGGGGGGGGGGGGGGGCAAAATCGGCGTTTTTGGAACAACCTTTTTTGAGAATAAAAAAAAAATAATGAGCACTGTACAAGGTGTAAAACTGCTCTGGAGGACCCATTCATTACAGCTACAGAAGCCAAAATCGGAACTTCATTGTAACGATTGATTAATTTAATTCATGAAAAGCCAAAATCGGAACTTCCTTTTAAACGATTGATTGATTTATTTCTTGAAAAGGCAACTCAACTGCCAAGATAGCGGAATAGCAGTAACTGCATTCTGGGGTGAACCTCGAGACACATAAAAGCATGTGCTGACTATGGCTTATACAGAAGTGCGTTTATATTCTCTGTTATTACGTAGCTGGTCTGGGGCGCTGGAGCCAAGCTCCGCCCTCTAAACACGAGTCTGTCTACGAGTCTAATATTTCGCCACATCATTGCAAGTTGCGATAGCTCAGTCGTCTGGACCACCGCTCGCGTGCATGTGTGAGATCCAAGTACCAAGGCAGGCGTTTGAGTCCCACCAGGAAGACTTTTTTTATTGATTGTATTTAAGACCCACTATCAAAAAAATAATTGAAAATAATTTATACTAGATAAAAAAATGTATGAAAATTTTCTTGTGAGTTAATATGTTAGACAAAAATACTGGAATATACTTTCTCCACACAATCAGCCACATGTTCACCCATATAAATGATGTTATTTTCTTTCTTCACTTAAGTTCATTTACATTCAACATTCATGATTAATATTTTTTCGTAAGTTTAGCAAAAAGTACCTATTGAAACAAATAACAAAGACATGAAAACAGTATGTCTCCAATATTTCAGTTGTTTGGCATGCTTTTCCAACATATTCATGTTGGGATGTCTTCTTGTTTTTTTCTTTTTTTTTCTTTTCAAGTCTTCATAGGTCATCATCACTACCAGAATTTAGGGTAGCGAACTATTGTCGGCCCAAGGCAGCAAAAGAGTGTATCTGACTTGGATCCAAATGCTGCATTCTAAACGATGTAATGTAAAATTTAGACATTTTTTGGCTTTGAAACTGTGATTTTTGAAAATAAAATTTCCATCCACAGCCATTAAGAACATGTATCATATTTTTAGGTTTTTTTTTTTCTTTCTTTGGAGAGAAAAAATGGTTTAAGAAATCTTTCTGTAAGCAGCAGTATCAAAACCTCAATATTGACTATGGAGATGTTAAAGCTCATTTCCCAAAGAAAAATTCCATTTTTTTTTCTTAGTACCAGGAGGGAGTGCACAGGAAAAGTCGAGATGGGTATGTTTCTTCGTTTTGATCCTAGTGGCAAAAAATTGGCATAAAATATGGTAAAACTTGTGAGTAGAGAGTTTCAACCCTCCACGTCACCCCTGATATGGAGTTCCATGCAATTCAGGAGATAAAAATAAAAATAAGCATTTCTGGAAAAATTTTGAATATCAACTCTCAAAAAACTTAAAGAATTACGGCCCTGTGGCTAAAAACTTCAACCGTTTTGATGTGCCAAGGAAGGAGTAAGTTCGAAATGACAATTTTCATCACCCAAAACAGCCTTTTTTGCCACTCTGAGTAAGGAATTTAGAACATTATGAATTTCGACTGTTTGACAATTCTTCATGCTATCAACAAGTTTCAACCCTTAGATCCAAAATTCAGTTTTAACGTACATCAAAGCATTTAGCGAAAAAAAAGTTTGCAATATCACCACAGTGTTGTTGCTACACATGTCTTATGGTCGCTACACCTCAAACGGTATGGCACATTAATGCGCCTGTAGGTGATAACAGAAACACTTCAGTAATTCTGAATGATTCTAGTTCGTTATTTGTGGTTGAACACTAAAGGGTTCGTAAAAACCGATAGAAACATTCTTGCACTCAGAACTCATTACTTTCACGATGAATAGTGTGTCAAAATGTCGAAATTCTCACGAGTTCAAAATTTCTTCCGCAAGGTGGGAAAAAAGCTATTTGAGACCTAAATATTTTCATTTCAAACTAACTTCTAACTTTTCTTTCTTTTCTTTCTCTCCACATCAGAATATTTGAAATTTTTGCCCAGAGGACCTTGACTTGTTAAGTTCCTTGAGGATTCATGATTCCTTTTCAAAAGATGTATGTTTTGATATTCATCCCTTTCAAAGCCCAGAATTTCATAATAGAGGTGGTGCAGTATGCTGGAATTTTACCCACAAGAGTTTAAACACATTTGAGGCTGGATTTTAGCTATTCCTATTAAGACAAAAAAAGTCTTTTATTCACCTTGCCTTAGAGGTGCAGTGTAATGAAATGAGTAATGGAGATGAATATGAACTCATTTTGACTTGTAAGTTGTAAAAATTACCTGCTGAAAACAGCTGATTGTCAACCACTGCTAGAGCTTTAACATCATGGTCATGGATGACTCTTTGAACCGATTTAACCCAAGTCATTCTTTCACCAGTTAAGTTGGTTTTTTCGAACGACATAATTAAAGGATCAACACCTAAAAACAGAACATTGGCAGTAAATTACAGTGTTCCATGCTTCGGAAAAGGCATTTTTGTACAATATGGCAACATAAAGTGCTGGCATTGAGTCCCAGTCTGCCGTCCAGCCTGTGACTGCTGTCACCCTCCTCTTTTCAGGTTGCCGATATTACATGCATGAAAAGGAAAAATGAACAGCAAAATATAAAGTGTCATGTTCTGAGGAGGAAAGAATGATTTACATTAGTCTATGCTCTTAAATTAACATGCAATACTTTTCAAGTCTAAAATATTGAGCGTAATCTTATTACTGAACTTGTTTAGCAATTTCTAATTCTTGCATTATTGAAAACTAAAGAGGACATATTGCTTACAGGAATTTTCCTTGATTATTTTTGAGCAGAGGTCAGGTCAAAATAGCGTTAGAATAAATTGCGACCAAAGCTTTTTTGCGGGAGTCTCTCTAGTTGTACTACCTAAACAGCATACTAAAATTTCCACACAGTTCCACAAACGTGGGNGGGGGGGGGGGGGTTTAGTCCAGGCAATGGACCACTAGACATGGTACGAATTTCAGCATTCTGATACAGGTTTCTTAACCGAAATTTCACGTAGAACACGATGCGCACGACAAAAACTACCGAAATCAACTCCTCACGAAGAAATTAAATGATTCTTGATGCGTGAAATCAAACCACCCGCTCATGAAAACTCAATGCTATTTGTGATTCACATCGCGTGCTAAACGTCATCATGACAGTCTCTGCGATATAAAAATCTGGCAACGTCAATCTTGACACTTTGGCTCAGTTATAGCAAATTGCTTATAGTTTGAACAACACATGGTAGGAAATGAACGTTTGCCCGATTGAGAGGCTCGCTGAAACCGTTGTGGTGCGCGATTTGACTTACGTAGAGCTTTGAGTTTCTTGTGAGCGGGCCTTTCAAATTCCTCATAACCAATGTGAAATAAAAACGTTAATATCTTCCTTAGGAGTTGATTTCAGTAATTTTCGTTGCGCAAATCGTGTTCCGCGTGAAATTCTGGTTCGGAAACATGTATTAGAATGCTTAAATTCGTACCTTGTCTAGTGGTCCATTGGGCATTAAATAGGGGCTCTTGGGGAAAATTTCTCGGAAAACTTTTTGATGAGTGATACCTATGTATTTTTGGACGCTGAATCCGAATTTCGCATTTGTATTAAGATTTCTTAGCCGCTAAAGCCGCCATTTTGAAAAAATAGCCTTAAAATGACCTAAAATCCCGGTTTTTGAAAATATCTCGCCTTTTTTTGATGTTTTTACGAAAGTAATTATTTTCAAAATTAAAGTACATGAAATTCTAAAGAAAAGATGTTCTTATCAATTTTTTGAATTGACTGAAATTTAAGCCGCCAGAGCGCGCTGAAAAAATCGCCAAAATTCGAATTTCGCGAAACTTGCGTTTTTCTCGTGAGTAACTTTTCTCAGGGCGACTCTACGTGAAAAATCTTAATTATCAAACTGATAGAGGAACAAATCTAATACTAGGAGTTGCTGTTTTCNCCCCCCCCCCCTCCTCACTCTGGCAATTACCCGTTACTGGCGCAATTCATTTTATGAATGAAACGTAAATGATTTCATCGGTAATATTTTGAGTAACATTAATAATTAATCAGGTAATTTCTATAAGTTCTCATAAATAATTGCTTTTTTTGGACGGGAATAGGGAAAATGGACGGAAAAAAGCTTACTTAGAAGTAGACGGACTGTATTATTACATTTGCATAGCTTTTTTAAGTTTTAATGAAGACATTTCAGAGTTTTCTTAATTTTCACAAATCAGGTAATTTTTGAGCAAATTATACTCTGCATACAAAGTTGTAAAATGCAAATCATGTATCTACCTAAGTATTTTCTACAGCGTATTGTAGATGGTCCTGGAATTTTCGTGAGATCAGTTTGTGGCACATCCGAGTTCTTGTTTTTTTGATTGGATGGTTCCGGATCAATATGTTGCACTGCTTTGTTTGAGTGCAGTACTCTTGTTGCTGGTTCTTCAATTTCCAGGTCACTTTCGTCATATTAACTGTCAGTTTCAGATTTTTGGTCAGGTACCGGCACACACTGGAACGAAACATAGGATTGCCCGGTCATAGACTTCCTCCGCAACTTCTTTCCGCTATATCCTTTGATCTTTATGGAATTTTAGGTCGGAATGTACATGATCTTGAAGCATTTTCATCGCAGAATCCGATTTTGACCTTAGTTTGGCCGAATTCCACACGGAAATGCATGTTTTCGGGTGTGCTTATGAAGTATCTCTCAGAATTCCAGGAACCAAGGTGTTTTCGTACATTTTCTCTCCAGTTTCTCTCGACCGTTTCACTTCCTTTCCCACAATTCCAAATTGAATTTCACATAATCTGAAGTATTTTTATCATAGAATTCGATTTTGACCATAATTCTATCGATTCATCGACTCAAACATTACATCACATCAACATTAAAGAAGTATCGGGTACAATAAAATTATGCTTTAATAGATCTGATTATTGTGCAGTTATTTCACAGTGGAATAATTAGAAAGTATCGAAAGAATAGGAAATTAAAGTAAACCGTCAGTTCATCAAAAAACTCTATACTTATTCGGTATACGGTTTGCTATTAGAACACAGTTGACATAAAAAAACGGTTGGAGGGCCTATATAATCATCTTATTCGCTGTCGTTCGTTCCGCCATCGTCCATCGATTCCTCTACCTCTACCTCTCTCCAAAAAAGTCCTCTTCGAAGTTGATGTCACTGTCATTATTACTATGATGAAGGACTAGAAATGCAGTAGCCGTAAGATTTTTAAGATTTTGCGATTAAGATTTTTGCGTTTTTAATGTTGTTATCAACCATATAGAACTGTTTAATGTGAAACTGTTTATTTGATGCATTTCCACTTATCTCTGCGATTGTTTTGGATGCCAGATTCAGGTGGAATGGCAGTCATCTATTAATGGTCTAGTAATAGTAAGGATAAAGTCCCCTCATCGATCAATTTACCTCTAATCCTACGATGGGAAATCCGTATTGGCCAGTTACGCTCTACGTCGCATCTTGAGCGGATGGAACGCAACCATATTTGCTGATGTTTAACACTACTATGCGTAGTCATTATTATGTTCACAATATTACTTAAATGAAACTGCTACGCCTTAATTCGCAGGGTGTCATAATTAGATTAAGCACATTTGGCAACCTGCGATATTTGCTTTCGAGAGAGGCAAATTCTTCTAAGCTTACACCGGGGGGGGGGGGGGGGGGGGTTGTAATTTACGTATCTTGGGCAGAGGAATGTTGGTTTTAAAACCATACAAAATATATGAACAATTGTACATTTTCTAATTTTTCAGGACGTCCCAACGTAGGCTATTGCCGGGTGCCTTATACCATCTGCAAAATTCAATAAATTTCGCGAATCTGCAGCTATCTGCTAGCAAATATGGCGGATTATCATTCTCAAAAGATTACTTGAGCACGCCAAATGCTTACTTTTTTGGCAAAATGCGGCATAATTTTTAAAAGCTTGCTTAAAGTTCAATTTTCATCTTTTTGAAGCAGATGACTTTAGGGATACGTGGTAGCCTTCACTATTGAGATAATTTTAATTAGGACCACTGAAAAATGTTCCGCAGAGTCTCAAAAATAGGTTTCAAGCATCAAAAACATGGGTTAATATCACAAAAAAATATAAGGGTGGAATAGAGTTTGTCGGAGGGAGACCCGCTCGTGCTGTCTGGCCTTTTCAGACGAAAATCAAAGAATTTCACGAATCTGCGCCTATCTGCAGCCAAATATGGCTGATTATCATTCTCAAAGGATTACTTGAGCACGGGATAGGCTTACTTTTTCGGCGAAATGCGTTGAATTTTTTGAAAGCTTGCGTAAAGTTCAATTTTCATCTTTTTGAAGTAGGTAACTTTAGAGTTACGTGGCAGCCTTCAGATATGACATAATTTCAATTATTACCAGTGAAAAATGTTCCTCAGAGTCTTAAAAATTAGTTTCAGGCATCAAAATTTACATGCAATAACCTCACAACAAAATACAAGGGTCGAAAAGAATTTGACAAAGTATGACAATTTCAGGAACAGCGGAATCTGCCACATTTGAGGAGCTCCAGGAAAAAATTGGAGGAAAAAAATTGAAAATGCATGCTAGATTCGTACAGTATGAACCCTCAGGAACACTTCATGCCCACTCCGGATCCAAAATTAGCGACACCCCCATGTCCGACCTTTTGCTCATTTTGTTCCAGTGTGCGGCGTTGATGGCGTAGATGAGCCAGGTTCACAATCCTGAGTATCATCTAAGAATGTCATTTCCGGTTCATCGATGTCTCCTTCCTCTTCCTCTCTTTGTAGGATATCTTCCATTTGAAAATTATCGCAGGATTGATTGCACATCTGATAGAGAATGGTGCATCGTAAGCCATTTTTACGGCACCCACAAGTCTCGCGGCAACCTTTCTTGCACTTGCAGGCAATTAGCTTCAAAATATTTTCAGGAGCTGATGAATCCAAATTTGTTATAGGCGTTAGCCCATTTTTGGTGGCTTTCCAGCCCCAATTGCAAGGATCCTTTTTCTCGCCCTGCCACTCCTGGACCTGTAAATAAGTTCGGAATGCATGCTCTGCTGCAGCCTTCTCAGTTGGTTGCAAAGACCCAAGATTTTCTTTATTTGAAATGAAGATTTTGTAAATCAGCCGTATCTGTGCTTATTTAGAGAAACTTTCTCAACGTCTCTCTGGCCATAGAGTGCAAGAAACAGCTTCTGGCCTGCAGCAGAAATGATTTCACGTGTTGATTTCGAGTGTTTAAATTCCTCTGCATACTTGATTAAATCGTGATTTTTTTCAAAAAATATTCAATTATTAAAGTGAATCAAAGATCAAATAACTATACAAGTCATAGCTTGTAAGCTCAAGTTGCAACTTGTCGATGGACATTCATTCGTCTCCGACGGAGGTTGCCAATTTTAAACTAGG